AAAATTTTATTATCTAAAACTTGTATTCAGTATATTTTCATCTATAATAGCTTCTTTAATTAGAAAAATAAGAATTACAATGCCAGCAAAGGAAAGTAATTGCCTACTTTATTAAAAGCGTTTTTTGTAATTTATTATATTATATTACAATAGTATATTCGTTTAATACAAACAGCAATAGAATTCCTTTTAGAAAAAAAAAAAAGAAATAAAAAGTCGGTTGAAATATTGTCATTTAGAAAACCTCATCTTTATCTCCTTTTCAACTTCAAATATTTATCCATCTCCTCAAAAATCATTATCATGAATAAATGTAAAAACCGAATACTTAATAGTTGACCGTTGTATTATAGAGGAAGGAGATGGTCCGGGATGGCGGTCATAAATAGATTAAAATAAAGGCAAAACTATTTTATTAAAAGCTAACGTTTCAAACCTTGCTTGCAGGTCTTCTTCAGGGAGGTGTGTTCAGCAAGGACTTTTGCTGAAAACTGACATCTACACTTGATTTGATCCACATTTTAAAAGAAAAATCCATTGCTCCGTTTTTACAGAGAGCTTTATAGCTTACAGCTTACAGCTTACAGCTTTACAGCTCCGTTCTTACAGAGAGCTTTACAGAGAGCTTGTGGAGGTTGCAAAAAGTATTAAATTTGGATTTATATAAGTGGAATTTAGCTTTAAGGGACTTTAAGATGGCAGGACAACTGGATCCGGTGGAAGCAATGTGACAATCGGTGGAATCAGTTTTAAGTAAAACTCTTTGCTCAACACACCTCCCTGAAGAAGACTTGCAAAGTCGGGTCGAAACATTGGTTTTTAATAAAATAGTTTTGCCACTATTTTAGTCTTTTTATGACCACCACCTAGGACCGTGTCCTTCCCAAATGTAAAAATTGAATTTTCGTATTGTCGAAGTATTTTTGTCAGCTGTCAATGTTATTTCACGGAAATCTATAAATCATATTTCATTTTACAGTTACCTACTTTCTGAATTATGTTTATAGAGGTGTTGTATTATGTTCCTATGTTTTACTGTCTTTCAGACACAGCTTTTATAATATGTTATTCCCAGTTACTGTTATTTCAGAGTTAAATGTTACTCACCGTTACTGTTATTTCAACCTATTATCTATATTGCATAACAGTACAAATATGTGAACATACTTATGTTCACTTATTGAACATACTTTGTTCAATCATTTTATTTGTTTATCTATGCTTATTCTTCATTTAAATTCTAAAGTTGCATTGGTCTGTAATTTAATTATTCCATGTCATTTTACGTCAGACATACAACACGTCTATTGTTCATATTTTATTCTTAGGAGAATAAATGTCCCAGAACAAAATATACTTTTCATTTCATCATCTTCTTCATATAGAAAATAAATCAGAAAGTTAGCTGTAGAATATTTTTATTTATTGTCTCCACTAACTTTTTTCCCCCCCTATATCTAGAGGTTTTCTTGGGTCAGGGGTTAGGGCGCGGGATTATTGCCAGAGTAAAAATACCCCGAAATTAGTTGAATGCCCTGCTTCCGGGACGAGTCCATCTTCACTCATAATCTTCAGGTTGACAGGCAACGTGTGTATTGCAAAGTTGATGGCCAGCTCGGCTACCCAGCCCCCTTCGGAGCTTTGAATGGTATTAAATACGAAAATATTGTAATATAAAGTATATCATGTAATTTTTATTAGTTGAATAATTTTATTGCAACGAGACGATTTTGACCTATCGACCTCATGCGTTGAATACAAGCAACGAGAATATCTTCACAGTAACGACATTATCTTAATTAGTTCAACAGATATAAATATTGTGATGAAGATCGATATCCCTTGATTTTTTTATCTTCCGAATTGGACATTGATGTACACAAAACCACTCAAATTAAAGTGGCCAACCATATATATAAAGCCTCACTCAACCAACACGAGGTACTCACATTACAGTCAGCACTGAGAAAAGGTAAGAAACATCTGAACTAATCTGACTAACATCTAAACTATATATATATATATATATATATATATATATATATATATATATATATATATATTTATATATATATAATGAATACAACTAAAATAAATTTAATACTAACTAAATTAATACCATATAGCAAGCAATCGGGTAAATAATATAATTTTTTTTACTGGATGATGCAATTTAAATGACCATTACTACATATATATATAGAAGCGGTCATAGGCTTCTTCACTAATGAAGGTAGGGTAGCTTTGTATTTGTGGAGTAGGATAACATTTTAGGCATTAAGGAACAAATTTGGTCAAGTCTGTAATTGTGTTGCCCAAAGTAGCTCTTGGTCTTTTTTTTTGAGTTTCCAATTATCATTTACTTTCAAACTTCATATTTGGCCATTTTTTATAGTTACTATTAATAAAATAGAATTATTTTTTGTTAATTAACCATGGATTTGATAAATGGTTCAATAAAACATACTGTAATAAAAGGTACATTAGTGGAAGTCGTATATGAACATTGGGCATTTAAGCACTGTAAAGTGACATCAATGGGGATAAGACCTAATTCGTTCAATAAAAATCGTTAGAGCCATTTTTGAAAAAATTGTTAAAATGTGCTTCACCGTTGATATAAAGTGGCATTTCCGATTAGCCGATTTTTATGAAATAGTTGCTGCCACATCTAAGGCATATATCTATCTTAAATAGGTAATATAAGCTCCGTACGACTTTTGGTTTTTGAGCTAGACTGTTTACATGTACACAGACAATTTTGCGGTACTTGGTTATTTGGACTCAAATACCTCAAAACGTGTATTTCAGTTGAAAACTCGGATTCAAACATTTTCACGATCGCAATAGCCTTACTATTACATATATTGATAAGTGAAAGTAAAAATGTGGGTATTGAGTAAAGTCAAATCTCCATAATTTTTATTAGAATCCATAGTGCTTAGAATAATCCTACGAATTCTAATAAAAATTACGGAGGAGATTATGCGCTTGGATGTCATGGAGTGATGTTCGATTAGGTGTTCATAAATTAGATGTTAACGAAACGTTGACAGGTTTGTTTTCTTTGCCTATATTTTGAAGAAATTATGTGGCTTGAAATCTTTCCAAATTATAACCTAATATTGGTAGCAATGTATAGATTGTCTTTACTTTGCAAATCTTCCATTTTACATAATTGGAGGAAGGAAGGAAATTATCACTGATCTTCTTGACAAAGCCTAAAAGTATATAATTTAATGTGAAGTTAATTTTATTAATTTGGTTGGACTTTACTACTTTTATGTCAATGAAACATCTAAATGTACCTATTCTGTAGCTTTTTTTTAAAGATCTAAAGTAACATATTTAATAAATAGCAATAAACAAGTAGTTAACTGCAAGACTCTTGCGCAATATTAAGACCAACAACAAGACTGAGTGTGCAAGACCAAGACTAAGGTTTGTCGACGCAAGATCAAGATCGCCTCGGTCTCTTCATGGTCTTGTGTTTGGCCAACACTAGTCTGTAATGAAATCGATACGCCGAGCACATTCCATTATTTCGATTTTTATCATAAAATCTAAGATTACGCTGGTTAATACCAAAATAAATTATCATAGATTTGCCTGTATTTCAGAAATGACTCGTTTAATTTATACAAGAATTATAGATAGGTTGGGAATTGGTGGGAAAAAACCAGGCTGTATCAATTTTATTGAATTCCATCTACTAGCTCCGCTTACATATGAATACAATTATTTTCACTGATTTGGCAATATATCAAAAACCGCACATTCCATATTGGACAGAGTTTGGCCACTATTTGTGCGTTTCACGGATTCTTTTTTTCCTCTTCAGCACCTAGAATTCAATAAAAACAAAAACAATCATTAACATAACTAAAACATCATTAGCCGGTACCCATAAAACATTTAAAAAGCTATGAAAATGTCTGTAAAGAATTATTTGTCCCACGAAGAAACACCAAAGATCTTGAATTCGTGGAGGAGGTTAAAATATTTACGTTTCATACACCAAGGAACAGATTTGGTAAACAAATGATCAAGAAAGTACCAACTTTACCAAATTCCATCCACAACTTTTAAAAAATGCTTTAGCTTTTGGATCTTCAAACGTATTGTTCTTGATATACACATTGTTCTTGATATACACATTGTTCTTGATATTTGTCTTAATATTTTATCTTTAGTTGGATAAAATTTGTAAAATGTGTACAATTGGTTTTCATATTAATTTCATTACATTTCAATCGACAGTTGAAGTTGAACTTGACTAATTATCAACAATATAAAGACTGACAAATATGGTGGCAGTAAATATATGAAAAACGAGGTTAAATTCCTACTATAGTTTTATGAGATTATAAGTTCGATATCTTGGTGTGATAAGAATGTATCTAACTAAAATATTTGGCTAGAATAGGATAATTCTTCTAGATTTAATATAAATTTGTTTTAAAAAAAATTAACTTCACTTGCACGTATATCATTTTCAGTTGTACTCACTCAGTCCGTGACAATTTTTATATGCATTACGAAACATTTTATATAAAATCAGAGGTATAGTAGTTTTATCAAACAATCTTGCAAAATTATATTTCTACCATGTAGAGAAATAAGTACAAAACCGATCAATTTTATAAATAATGAAGAAGGTATTAAAAAATATTATTATAATATATTATTATAATATTAAAAGTATTTTAAATTTCACCTAATCTTAATATTAAGGCTAGAACCTTTCAAATAAGATAGTATCAGTTTTTTCTTACATACTTCAACAACGGATTCTTGCGTATATTTTATTCTCAAACGACAAACAATATAACTCGAAATAAAGGTGATAATGTAATTGTAACTTGTAAGAAAGAGATCTTTACACGGCAGACCTTTTTTTTTTTTTTTTAATTTTCACTAATGGGAAAAGTTGTGGAAAATTTAAATATAAAAGAAAAAGTATAATAAATGCGTGAAACATGAATGCGAAATGATTACAGGATGAAAGTTATATTACTTCTCGCCATGGTGGCGTTTGCAGCAGCAACGCCTGCCATTAAGGAACAATGGAGCTCTTTTAAGGTTAGTATAGAGCAAACTACATCCTACTGAATTCAATATAAATTGATAACTGATAGTTGTTTGATAACTTCACAAAACATAAATCAAAAAACTTATTTCTATAGAGACAACATGGCAAATCATACCACACCATTCAAGAAGAACGTCTTAGGATGCATATTTTCACACACCATATGAATATGATCGAAGAACATAACGCTAAATTCGAAGCTGGTCTGGTAACTTACTCTATGAGGATGAACCATTTAGGAGATATGGTAATATATTTGGACATTGAGTAATATCGTAAGAAATCATTTTTGATCAGTACTGGTATAAATAATCTGTTATCTTATAGCTTCCAGAAGAAGTGACTCAACTAGGATTCAACAGAACAGGAGAGATGAAGCAAGCACCTACCTTCACATTTCTCCCTCCAGCAAATGTCGAACTTCCAGAATCCATTGACTGGAGGCAGTCTGGTGCAGTCACTCCAGTGAAAAACCAAGGTAGCTGTGGATCTTGTTGGGCTTTCAGCAGTGTAAGTATAGTGATTAATTTTAATTTAGAATATTGATAGACATTCTTTTAAAACGAATAGACTAACAATCGTTATTTTTAGACTGGAGCAATAGAAGGCCAGCTTTTCAGGAAGTCTGGAAAACTCGTATCTCTCAGTGAACAGCAGCTTGTGGATTGTTCAAAAAGTTACAAAAATAATGGATGTGGAGGCGGATTAATGGACCGCTCATTCAATTACCTAAAGGATGCTGAAGGATTGGAAAGCGAAAGTTCATATCCTTATGAAGGAGTTGTAAGACTTTTAGTTACTATCCCTGAAAAAAAAGTTTAAAATAGCAAAATTTAGTTTTGGAACAAATCTATAATCTTTTGATATAATATAAACCAGAAGCTGTTTCTCAAAATTATGATTTATCTTTTAGGATAGCAGATGTAGGTACAACAAGGATAAGGTAGTGCCAGGAACCAAAGTCAAAGCTTACACTGACATCCAGTCATTGGATGACGATGCTCTGAAGGCAGCCGTAGCTACAGTTGGACCAGTCTCCATTGCTGTCAGTGCTGGAAACATGGGTTTCATGTTTTATGAAGGAGGTAATTATCAGTTTAGTGTTTGTAATGCTACCCTGACTACAATTAATTACAAAAAAATAAATAAAAAATGTCTGATTCCAGGTGTTTTTGATGGCGAATCATGCTCTGGCGGTTTAGACCACGGAATCCTCCTGGTAGGCTACGGATCTGAAAACGGCGAAGATTACTGGCTCGTCAAGAACTCCTGGGGCCCAAGGTGGGGAGAGAATGGTTTCATGAAGTTGACTAGGGCCAAGAAAAATGTCTGTGGAATCTCTACTGCAGCCAGCTATCCTATTCTTCTATAAATTCAGATCCCATAAATTAATTTACTTTACTTTATCAGTTTACTATTGCAAAGTACTTCATTAAATTTCATAACAAATTCAAAAGTATAATAAAACATGATATCACTTCCACACACCTTTAAATAATTTAAATAAGTGCCCTTTTACAGAATTTTTTTTAATTTTATTTTCATCCTAACCTAACCAGTACATGGAAATTTTCTGAGATACAACAATTGAAATTTGTTTTATTTTTACTTATATATATATATGAAATATATAACATACCCTGTAAGTAGAGAAAAATATTTATAATGTCGGTAGTAGTCATCAAGATCTACAAAAAACGTTCATATAAACAATTACCCAATTTCAAGCAGAAAAGTAGGAAATTTAAGTAGGAACTTTTTCAATCTTCACGTTTTTTTGAGGAATCAGAAGTCATAACTAAAAAAATATTTGATATAAGGAATTAAACATTCCTTCATAGTAAACCAGACAAAATTTACTTTAAACGAAAGTAGTGATTGCCATTGTTAAAATCATTTAAATAGAACTATGGACTACTGAGCGGTCAAACTAAGCTAAATTACGTTTAAAAAAAGTAATAAACCATTTGGGACTTTTATCACACTCCAACTGTACTTTCAGAAAATTGTGATAAGCTTTTAAGTCCATATGAATTAAGTTGAGGTTTATTGGGAAAAAATTGAGATTCATCTTAAGTTGTGTAAAGAAATAATATGATTTTCTATCCCCAGTCATCCGTGTTTTCAGCAAAAATTAGTAGAATTGACTGTTGCGAATTGTTTGCCAGGGGTGCTTTATTTTAAAACTTAATTTTCAATAAGAAACATTAAGTTTGTCATAGATAAATATAGATTAATTCCTATGAACTTAGCTGAGGTTGTCCGCTCGAAAATCCTCTTTGAATGTTTTTAACAATGACGACCTCTACTTTCGTTCGAAATAATTTGGTTTAGTTTAGTATGGAGAAATGATTAATTCCATAAATGAAAAATTTTTTTAGTTATCGCTGACAATTCAACAAAAAACGTTCCTCGATTTAAAAAACAATAATGTTAAATTTCCAACGTTTCTGCTGGAAATCAGATAATTGTTTATATGAACTTTTTTGTAGAACTTGATTGATATCTCCTATCAACCTTTGAAATATTTCTCTCTGTTTACGGAATATCCTGTGAAATATAGTGAGGAAGAGTATTGAAAAATCGGGTGCCCAGAAGGGGGTATCATGATGCAAGTTGCGTCATCAAACTTTTTGAAATGGGGCTTATTTTGACGAGTTTTTGAGTTTTGAGGAAGCATATTCGTACGGGGTTATGAATTTTCGGGATAAGGGGCAAGAGAGAAACATAGAACAGACCACAACACTTTTAATTGTATATGATCTACGATTTTTCTAATTCTATCTTAGCTTCCTCTGTTTTTAAGCAAAGGTGAACAATAAAATATCTTGAGGAGGTAGGCAGGTAGGTTCTTGCGCCATGTATCTTGGGGAGGATGGACACTTCTGGGGTCAGTGAGTACAAAATGGTTAGTGTTTGTGTAAGTGTCCATGAACAGCCTAGCTGAAATATAAAACTGGAATTATGCTTTTAAGGGAGATATTTTTCTGGGATGTCATAGTAACTTTTTTGCCAAAATCGACTTCCAAGATTTAACTCATTTTAAAAATTATCTAGGAAGCGGCTCCAAATTGAATCTAGTGGCCTACAATAGCAGAAAGATGTTATTGAAATATTCTAACAGAGCTTAAATGAGAATTTTAATTTTATTTCATCTAAAGTACATTTAAAAAAAAATCTTTATTAAAATAAATTACAATCCGTCACATTTAAGGACAATAGTAATAGTGATAAAGAGTAACTCATTCACACTATGCACCAAGGGTACCCTCAGAATTATTTTTATTGGGGGGACACATTAAATTTTTAATTTTAAGAGAACTCTTAAACCAGGAAATAAAGAAAAAAGCACTCTGAGATTTAAGTATATATAAAAAAATATCTAAGGGCGCCGCATATTTGGAAGAGCGGCAGATATGACTTAATCCTAAGTACTAAACACAAGAGGAGCATTGTCTACAGTATTTTCAGTTTCTGTATTGACTCAAAGGGAGCCGCTAATTTTAAATATCAATATATGGTACTTTCATTCTGTGTATATAATAAATATAACTAATGTCTTGTATTTGGCTATGGGACACCGACAAATTAAAAATAATGTAGCAACAAATAAAAAACAAACAAAAAATTATGAGATATTATAATCAGTGATAGGTCGGTTGATAGTATTTCAATATTCTGAAAGAAACTAATTAGGAAATAAAGACTAATTTCCCCATTCTAAAATTCCTCCTTCCTCCCTATTTAAAAAAAAAAAAATGTACTCCTTTTTTCAGATGAAATTATTATCAAAATAGAAAAATATTTTAAAACAAAATAGTTATGAATTCCCGTGGGCATACGCAGAGGAGGGCGTTACCTCTCTTAATAATTTGAAAGCAAACTGAATCACAATATAATATAAAGGTTTGCCGAAAATTCAAGAAAATTATTTTTTTAAATTGTTCTGTTAATAAATGGTATTTCATATAACAATATTAATATATTGTAATAATAATAAATGTTTGCTCTTGATTCACGGCATATTTCAATTGGTTATGGCTTAATTTAATATTAAAATGTTGTAAAAGCATTAAAATGGGATTCGTATTAGGAGTGGTTTATTCTTTCGCGCTCATCACATTAATCTATTGTGTAAATTATTTTCTTCATATTATAATAATGGTTAATTTTGATTTAATGGTCTATATTGATATAATTACATATTAATTTTTTTTTTTAAATTTATATCCAATAATCCGGCATTTCGATAATTCGACATTGCGTATCTCGGCAAAACTTTAACAGCTTTAAAAATGTCCAAGTGAAAATAGAGTTGTTCTACTTTCTCTGTATATTTATATACTCTTGACAAACTCGCATTGTATGGCTAATTGATGTTCAAAACAAAAACAATTACCTGTGAGGAAAGAAATAATTTTTGTTCAAAATCTTTTTTTTTAACACCTTACGGTCCAAAATAATATTGTAGGTTTATTTTTTTCTGAATAGGGTGTCATAATTGGCGGGTTGCGCCGCAAGTCTGTGCCAACGATAACAAATACAAAATTTTAGCAATTAAAAGCTTGACCCAACTTAACTCACTTGCTATAGAGTTAAAATTCCACTAACGCAATGTAAATAAATAAAATTATTTATTAATATATTTATATTTGTATTAATACCTGGGTAAGAAATTCCTAAAAACTTGTCCAGATAAAAGCAAACAGTGCTAAATGGTGCACTAGTAACAGGAAATCAAGAAAAGATGAAATAATTCTGAGCCGCCGCCGAATTGGACACAGTGAATTTTCACACGGTTACTACTGTGTCAGATGTGGTGCCCCTAGAACCGTGAACCACATACTCATGGATTGTGAATACTATGCAGCCATAAAAAAAAATCCTCAAAATACACAGTACTCTTCAGGAAATATTACAAGATACCAAAAGAGATTTGGAAATTCTGATTAGTTTTTTTTTTTTTTTTAAACGAGGATCTACAATAGAATATAGGAAACTAGAGTGAAGAATGAATTACCAATGACCCTAGCGGTCAGAGGCGAACTCAGATAATAAATAAATAAACATAAAGCTTGTTAGAAATGATTTTATTCCTAACTGGGAAATATTAGAGCCCCTGTAGGGTATAGCTTTACTAAATGTGTTTTATTTCTGGTTATCTTGCCTAATTATTGCAAAGGATTCATAGATTTATTCTATGAAGCGATAATTAAAATATTTAGTGATTTCTATGTTGTTTTTATTTATTTATTGAATTTAGTTTGTTATACACACACACACATACACACACACACACACACACACACACACACACACACATATATATATATATATATATATATATATATATATATATATATATATATATATTTAAATATTTCTTCGTCTACATACTGTCTATTTCTAACATCGTTCCTTTGAATATTGTCAAAGACTAAACATCTGTCGGTCATTACGTTAAAAAAGGCGAAGGCGGCGCACAGCGCTATAAGGGGAAAGGTTTTCACCAGCAAAACTAGATTTTCATTAGTGCCAACTCTCTTGCAATATATATATAAGGGATATGACCGCTTTGGATGTAAGTTGTCGGAGGATCTGAGGAGTCCAGGAGATTTGCTGGGCATTAGCTTTTGAAATTGAAATTCACTAAGGAAGGATGAATTGCTTTAGGGTGCGGAGGAAGCAGGAAATTGGGATAGGGCATGTAAGGAATTCTTCTACTGTTACGGTGTGGGCAGGGAGGGATTCCGTATTGGAGAGGCGTTTGGCGAACTCCTCAACTTTATCTTCATCAGATGATGTCCAGGAGCCATCATCTCGTTGAAGATTGTGGGAAATTTGGTGAGAGTTTAGGATTTTGGTAGTGGCTTTTCAAGGAGAAATGTCACGAGCAACAAGCGGGAAAGGAAGGAGTTGAAGAATGGTGATCTGAAGGTTGCTAATTCCAGTTTTAATTTGACAGGGATTGTGTGTAAAAAAGGGAGATTCTACAATTGTCTTAGCCGATGTTCTGTTGGGGCAATGAACCTGGCTGGATTTCGTATTCTTCGGAGCTAACAGGTGTCATGGGAGGTTTTTGACGAGATTATCGAGGCTTTTGTTTGGCCGGAGATCTAGATAAAGAAGATGAAGCAGAAGAAATTGTTCTCTTATCACTCTACTAGTGATAATCATGATAATAAAAAAAAGAATCTATATGTTGATAACTGTACAAAGTAAATATCAACTTCCTGGTGTATCTTTGTGTTGTTTTAAGCGAATGATATAGGAAAGACATATTATTCTGGGGGGAAAACCCAGTAAATAATGAGAGCTGAGTTGGGAACACAACCTTACACATCCTGCTGTCTAAAGCACCTTTAATTTTGTTTTTTAAGATAATTAACTATACTACATTGCAACAAGTAATAAACAATAGGTAATAACTATAAAGAAATTTGATAATTAACATAAGGAGAAATAAGAACTGGTCTTACATAGATACAGCTAATCAGAAAAACCCTAGGGCCTCCGACTTTTCCTGCTTTTCTCCTTTTAAACAACTGACGTCTGTAGATTGTTAGTTTAACTCAATTCCTACTGTAATATGTAATATAATACATGCAAAATGTTGAGGATCTATTGAATATGTATAATACGAGTATATATGTATGGCCTTATATCTAAGATGGACATCCGTTATTTTCAGAGAGTGTTGAAGATGTCTAAATTTGTTTCTGTTTTACACGAATGTTTACGTCAGATCATTGAAAATCACGTTAGAATTGGTTCAAATTGAATCTCTGTTATAAGAATAGGCTTTTTCCCAATATTTCCGAGGCCGCACATATAAATAAATAAGTAAACTAATATTAATTGTTGTTTTTCAATGTTTTTTTTCTTTAATTATTTGGATTTTGTGAGCCTTTCTCTTTCTTTTGTATAAAACTTATAACCCACAAAAATGAACGTTGTGGTTGGGCGAAAACGTTCATTGTGATAATAAATAAAACAAAAAAATATAGTGTTTAGTTCATGTTTATTGGCCATATCTGCTAAAACAAAAAACAAAATCATTATTAATTCAGAAAAGGTTTTCTTTACAAATTTTGTATACTGAAAATTGAAGCCTCTCTTCCAAAAGTTCTCTTAAAAAATATTCCTGTAATATTATTTCTATATCTCACAAGTTAATCTGATTGAAAATTGTCTAATGGCTAGCGAAATGAGATGAAAATAACGGAGGTACTAATTCAGACGTAAAAGGAATTATTAAATTTTAAAAAAAGAATATTTTAGGAATAAAATAATAAAAACTAATGGAGCCGAAAATAATGTAATACCCATGTACAACAGAATGGAACAAAAAAGTATTTTTTTTTCTTCTTAAACTTTCTAATTTTCCCTGATTGTATTCATACATTTAGGTTTCCAAAGATGGCTAAAAATCAGATATTTATTCAAAAAATTAAAATTTTACATATAATTTTGCCTACTTTACTTTTCCATTTTTTAAAATCAAATATTGTTTTTAATAGCAATCGCTATTGATATGCATCCCCTAAAGATATATGATCCTATGCTCTTCTTCACTGCAACTACAGTGACTTAAAGTTGCTCTTAACATTTACATACATTTTTTACAAAATTTATATAAATGGGCTATTCATCTAAATATAATTTCAGAATATTAATTACGACCATAATTAATCTGTTATAATTCATTTTTCAATCAAATTGTTGTACGATGACAATTTTTAAATTTATAATATTGAAAACAACTAAATAATGATAATAATCAACTATCTAATATTTCGGGCAATAAATAATAGTGTTATAGTTATTATATAAATAATATTATATAAACAATATTATTATAAATAATAATTTGTGTCATTAAAACAAAGAAAACATTCAAAAATAGTTTTTTTTTATTTAATTAGTTTTTCATTGAATTAAACATCCTTTATCAATCATCCGGTAGTTCTATCCAGGACAGTACAAACATGTGACCACAAACTGAAAATCTTATATAATATAGGAATGGAAACCAGAACTGACGTAAGGAAGTTTGTGGTTCCCATGATGATTTTATTGCAATAATAAAGTGGATGGAGATAAAAATCACAGAGCGTACGATGATACCAAACACTTAACCGTTTAAAATTTTTAACTCTCACTTAGCTTTTTTTTTTAATTATTATTAATTTAGTATCTTTAGATTCATTCCAACCTGAGAGGTCAGTTCTATCTTAATAATTTTCAGAAATTCATTAAATCGTGTAAAGAATAATACTTTTTCTTGACCCAATAGAGAAAAATATTTATTCTATTCCAGTCATTACGCATTGGTTCATTATTTCCGAATTGTTAAGCTGAAACGTTGATTGTGATATTTATTAAAGAAATCATTATAATGCTATTTTCATATTCATTAAACATTATCTATCTCCTCGAATATAAAAAGCATTGTTCATCCAGCATATGATTTTTCATTCAAATTATTTTGTTTACATATACTAAAAAGTGAAATTAATTTTCCAAAAACTCTCTTAAGATACGTATTTTCTGTAATATTAATTAAGTATTTTACAACAAAAGTTGTAGAAGTTGAGTTCAAATTAGCTATTCCATGTTTCATTTTCATTGGGAACGGTCCATTGATTGAGGAAAGTAGGTGTTTTGAAAACCTGGGAGAGCTAAGTATGATTATGACATGAATGGAAGTCCTATTTTCTGATGAAATATGTTGGACACAAAAGATGTTTAAAAGTTTAAAGAAAAAATGTAATTAAGAATATTGAATACTTAATAGTTGACCGTTGTATTATTAAGGAAGAAGATGCTCCAGGGTGATGGTCATAAATAGACTAAATAGTGGCAAATCTATTTTATTAAAAGCCAACATTCCGACCTGACTTTGGTGGTCTTCTTCAGGGCTAGACAAGATACAAAAATAGAATAGAATAGAAAAATCATCTTTATTCTGGAACTAGGTCCCTTTAGAATAACAGTATTGTTCATATATATTAACTACAAATCTGGTCAAAAGACTTATTACAATGAATAATGACAAAATACATGTAATACATTAAGTATTAATTAAGGCTCTTGGGATAAATTAACGAGGACAGTTGGGTAATAGGGGTTCAGTACTACAATATTGGAGCTAAAATAATTGCATAATAATCACTGAATGAAATTAGAAATGAAAGTAAAATCTATTTTATAGGTAAAGCATTGTAGTGATGGAATATAAAAATTTAAAAAAATAATAATAACTGTTAATATGTAGGGAAAGAAATTGTAAAAACTAAACCAAAAAAATATATTAAAAAACAAATAATGATATACATATGTTCCCTAAGATATTTATGTGATTATGCGTAAAGATTAGGAGAAGAGAAAATAAAATAAAGTATATATATACACATAGCGAGAATAACTGATAGTTGTTTAATAACTGAAGCAATTAATAACTGTTTAATATAAAAGCGAAATTTAATTTTTACAGAGACAAAATCGTAAATCATACAAAACCATTGAAGAAGAACGTCTTAGGATGAACATTTTTACGCATCGTATGAATATGATCGAAGAACATAATGCCAAATTCGAAGCTGGTCTGGTTACTTACTCTATGAGGATGAATTATTTAGGAGATATGGTAATATTGTGGACATTGTGTAATGTGTTATAAAATAATTTTTGATCAGAATTGGTAAATATAATTCCTCATCTTACAGCTGCCAGAAGAAGTGACCCAGTTGGGATTCAACAGGACAGGTGAGATGAGGCAAGTTCCCAGCTTCACTTTCCTCCCTCCAGCAAACGTGGAAATCCCAGAATCCATTGACTGGAGGCAGTCTGGTGCAGTCACTCCAGTGAAAAACCAAGGTACCTGCGGATCTTGTTGGGCTTTCAGCAGTGTATGTATAGTGATTGATTTCTATTTAAAATATTGATAGACATTCTTTAAACAAATTATTACGATAACAATTATTATTTTTAGACTGGAGCCCTAGAAGGCCAGCTTTTCAGGAAGACTGGAAAACTTGTTTCTCTCAGTGAACAGCAGCTTATGGATTGTTCAAGGAGTTACAAAAATAATGGATGTGGAGGAGGATTAATGGACTATTCCTTCAGATATCTGGAAGATGTAGAGGGATTGGAAAGCGAAGATTCATATCCTTATGAAGGAAAAGTAAGACATTTTGTTATAGTGCCAAAAATACTTCATTAAATTTGCTAAATTTAGATTTAAAGTGAACCTATAATCTATTTATGTAATATAAACCGGAAACTTTCTATTAAAATTATGATTCTACTTTCAGGATAACAGATGTAGGTACAACAAGGATAAGGTAGTGCCAGGAACCAAAGTCAAAGCATACACTGACATCCAGTCCTTGGATGACGAAGCTCTCAAGGCAGCCGTAGCTACAGTTGGACCCATTTCAGTCTCAGTCAATGGAGGAAACGTGGATTTTCTGTTCTATGATGAAGGTTAATAACTATATACTATACCAGTAATGGAGTTTGTAATGCTTTATCGACTGCTTATAATTTTTTTAAAAATCCGCTTGCAGGTATTTTTGATGCTGAAGGCTGCTTAGACCATGTGGATCATGGAATCCTTCTAGTAGGATATGGATCAGAAAATGGTGAAGACTACTGGCTCGTCAAGAATTCCTGGGGCTCAGATTGGGGAGAAGAGGGGTATATGAAGTTGACAAGAGCCAAGAAGAACGCCTGTGGTATCTCTACTGCTGCTAGCTATCCCATTCTTTTATGAGGAGCAGAAATCAATAATTAGATCATTTGAATAAATTCCTTTCTGCAGTAATTTATTTATTTTTATTTTTCCTAACCTGAATTTTTAATAAACTGAATAAAAAATAGTTTTTATTTAATTAGTATGTAATTAGTTCATTGAATTAAAAATGCTTTATCAATCATCCGGTAGTTCTATCAGGTACAGTACAAACTCCTTAACATGTGACCACAAACTGGAAGTATTTCCTTGGAATGTGCATATCAATCTAAAGTAGTGTATGCTCTTGAGATCTGTTATTTAAAAAAAAATGGAACTATCCACTATCCCCGATTGCTTGCATTAATAAGTCGCTTACTGGAACAGAAAATTCTTCAGAAATCCGTAAACTAGGTATGTTGTAATGGCATGTTATTCTATTTCGTTTTTGATTTAAAACTCAATCATTAATTAAATCATTATGTGTCAATGGTTTTTGGAGACATACATTTTTCACGATACCTTACTGACAGCATTTAAAAACAATCGATCCATTCAATCAAAGAAATGCCTACCAGGCAGACCCATCTGGTAAACTTGCTGCTTGGATTGTTATGTGATGGGAGAAAACACACAAAAGAACTAGGCTTCTTAGCCGAGCACCGAGGATTAGAATGGAAACGAGAACTGACGTAAGGAAGTTTGTGGTTCCCATTAATAATTTACATATCAAAGATTTTATTGCAATAATAAAGTGGATGGAGATAAAAATCACAGAGCTCCCTATGATACCAAACACTTTACTGTTGAGGATTTTAACTCTCACTTAGCTTTTTTTTTTTAATTATTATTTTATTATCTTTAGATTCACTCAAACCTGAGAGGTCAGTTCTAACTTAATGATTTCAGAAATTCATTAAATCGTGGAAAGAATAATACTTTTGGTTGACCCTATTGAGAAAAACATTTATTCTATCCCAGTCATTACGCATTGGTTCATTATTTCCGAATTGTTAAGCTGAAACGTTGATTGTGATAATAATTAAAGAAATCCTTATAGTTTTTAAGTAAAATTTGATAACAGTATTAATTCTTCCAATTTCTTTATTGTATTATGACGTTTCGGGATCCACTTTCTCATCCCACCTTCAGACTAGAATTTAGAATATTTTCGTTATTTATATTTTTATACTATTAATACAATTGTTCTTGAGACAGATTGTAATATTTTTCAATTAATAAGCTTAGATTTTCATGAAAAAAATACAATATTTTTTATATAACTTTTAACAACAATAACAGAAATTACTAATCTTACCAGTATCTTATCCTAATATCAACTTATATTTTTATAAGATTCCCCATAATTATTTTTTAATTTTTATAGTGTCATAATTCATTCCTAAAATGCAAAAATTTTATGTTTTAATTTATTACGAAACACAAAAAATTATAACTAAAAAGGTTATTTGAATTTTCATTTGAATTTTCAAGTAAAAACGTAAATTTTTTTTTTTCGAAGTTGAAGGAAGAAGGTGTGAAAGTGAACATACGTAGTTGAAGGTGATATCCACCGAAAAAATGGATCCCAACCCAACTACAAATGTTGTGGTAAGGGACGAAAGGATGGACTTAATCGACGCTACTTGTGGTGATGCTTGGGCATTGGTAACGGGTAAAAAAAGAAATTTTCCTAATGAATCTAGGGATCCGAGAAAATACAAAAAAACCGAAACAGAAAATGTAACAACTCCAATATCTGTAAGTAATTCTTATGATGTACTTAATACCATTACCGAAAATGAACAATCCGCAGTAAATGTTCAAACAAACGAAAAACCACCACCAATACACATAAACGACGTTCAAAATTATCAGGCATTGGTCCTATTCCTTGAAAACAACGCAGCTCCAAATTCTTTTTTTCTGAAAACAACTATCAAAGGTGTAACAGTTTACCCGAAAACACCTGACGTATACCGTAAACTAGTTAGTAGTCTTAGAAATGGAGGTGCTGAATTCCACACATATCAGCTACCTGAGGACAAAAATAGAAGAATTGTCATTAAAAATTTGCACCACACCACCCCAATCTCTGAAATTAAAAATGATTTAGAAAAACATGGTTACATTGCAACAAACATCACAAATGTATACTCTCGATTCAAAAAACCTTTGCCCATGTTTTTCATAGACATAACAAAGGCCACTTTCAATGAAAAAATTTATGAAATCGAATCAATTTATTATACAAAAATTGTTGTTGAGGAGCCTCGAAAAAAAAGAATTATACCTCAGTGTATAAGATGCCAACAATATGGTCATACAAAATCATACTGCAACCATTCTCCACGATGTGTTAAGTGTGGCCAAGGCCACGAAAGTGTATCCTGCTTGAAGACCAGGGAGACAAAGGCAACTTGCGCAAACTGCCTTGGAGACCACCCGGCCAACTACCGAGGATGCCAAGTCCTGAAGGATCTGAGGGCGCATAGGAGAACAGCAAGAACCAACCATCCTCCTAGATCCCCACCTCTCCCTCCACCACCAAGTTTCGAAGAATTTCCGACTCTTCCGCAGCCCTTGCGAAAAGAGCAGCCGATACAAAAAAATTCTTCGCAGAAGGCTACGCCAGCTCAGCTGCAGGAACCATCAAGAAACCAGATGACAAGAAGAGATAATGCTACTACATCTGCTCACATCAAACCATCATGTTCAGGTATGAGGCGGGAAACTACTCAGCAGCCACCTTCAGCTGAAAATAATGCCCCACCTCAATTGCTCCAATTACTCAATGGTTTAAACTCCCTCATACAGCCCCTTTTTACTATCCTCCAACAGCTTGCACAGGTGACTCAAGCCATGTATCCACAAAATGACCGCTAATCAGCTGACTGCAGGCTCTTTGTCCATCCTTCTGTGGAATGCAAATGGACTGGCACAACACAAAACTGAACTGGACTTTTATCTTCATGAAAAACGTATAGATGTAGCCCTGATAACGGAAACTCACCTTACACCACGATCGAAATTCGGTATTTCTGGTTATGTGACACACAGGACAGACCACCCCGACAACACTGCCCACGGCGGCACTGCTATACTTATAAGATCTTCTTTATCACACAACCATTTACACTTACCAACTACACCTGACATTCAGTCCACAGGCATCACACTATACATGAAACACAACACATTGACACTAGCTTCCATCTATTGTCCTCCAAGATATGTGCTGACATCTTCGATGTTTTGCAACTTCTTCCAAAGCTTAGGTCGATGTTTCATAGCAGGTGGTGACTTCAACGCAAAGCACCAACATTGGGGGTCACGGCTATGCACACCAAGAGGAAGAAATTTGAGGGCTGCTATCCACGAGCTTTCATTAGACACTATAAATCCTGACACACCGACATACTGGCCTGTATCGAGACTCAAATCCCCGGACCTTTTAGACTTCTTTATTACAAAAGGACTGCGTACTGTACCTCATTCCATAAGTACGAGCTCTGATCTTTGCTCTGATCATTCAGCGGTACACCTTATTGTACTCGATGAGGCCGTCAACGTGCAAAAAATACCAGCTCTCATCAAAGGACCAATTGACTGGGATGCATATAGAGAGTTTTTAAACTCTTCGCTTTTGATCCCAGTGTCCATAAAAGGTGAAAAAGAACTGGAGGAGGCTGTGGAAACATTCACCAAAAATATTCAACAAGCTGCTTGGACATCATCAATACCAAAATTCAACTCTGCGACAGCTGAGCACTTGCCGAAATATCCTCAGTACATAAGGGACTTAATCAGAGCAAAGAGAAGAGCGCGTAAAATATGGCAGACTGACAGACACCCTTCAGATAGACAGACATTTAACCGACTAAACAATCAACTTAAAAGAGAAATCCAAAAATTTAACAGAACTAACTATGACGCATACATCAGTGGTCTTTCTACTGACGATGGGAGCTTGTGGAAGCATACCAAAAAGTTGTTAAAGCACCGAGAGCTGTCAGCACCACTTAGAAAAGAAGATGGATCCTGGGCCGTGTCGGATGAGGAAAAATCTGAACTCTTCGCTCACCACCTTTCTTCTGTATTTAAACCGTTTACAAACTTCACTAACACAGCACATGAGACTATGGTACTTAACACATTAGACATCCCACTTCAGCTGACACTACCACCTCCTTCTTTTACTCCATCTCAGGTTGCACTTCAAATCAAACAATTACCGAAAAGAAAAGCTCCTGGTTATGACTTAATAACAGCCGAAGCACTCCAACAAATGCCCAAGAAAGCTCTAGTATTTCTGACAACAATTTACAACTGTATACTAAGGACGTCAAAATTCCCTTTACAATGGAAATACTCACTTATTAAGATGATTCACAAACCCGGTAAAGACATATACAGTCCTTCATCATACAGACCCATTAGCCTCCTTCCTATATGCTCTAAAGTTTTTGAAAAATTAATATACAAAAGACTTGTTGACATATTGACTGACCAACAGGTAATACCTGACCACCAATTCGGCTTTCGCACATTCCATTCGACGACACATCAATTGCACAGAGTTACAGACTACATTGCTGGAGCTTTAGAACAAAAACTATATGCAACTGGAGTATTTTTGGATGTTGCTCAGGCGTTTGATAGAGTCTGGCACCAGGGTCTTCTCTTTAAACTTAAGACTATACTTCCATACACCTACTATCTTATCCTTCAATCTTTCCTCTTCGACAGATTTTTTTCAGTTCGGCAGGGCTCGGAAGTGTCTTCAGTCCATCCAATCTTGGCCGGAGTTCCCCAAGGTTCAATACTAGCCCCTCTACTTTACGTTATATACACTTACGATATACCTATTGACGATGAGATCTTGACAGCTACATATGCAGACGATACAGCAATCCTCACAAAACATCAAGACCCTACACAGGCCTCACTAACTCTACAACATCATTTGCTTAAACTACAAGATTGGTTCACACTATGGAAAATTCGACTTAATCATGACAAATCCAAACATATAACATTTACTCTTCGAAAAAACACCTGTCCTCCAGTTTATATTGACAACAATCAAATTCCTCAAACGGACACTGTACTTTACCTTGGACTCACCTTCGACAGAAGGATGACATGGGGCCCACATGTTAAAATGAAACGCATGACACTTAACAAACGACTCAAACTACTTTACTCTCTTTTTGCCAAATCTTCGAAACTAAAACTAAAACAGAAACTGAATACATATACATACTTACTTAAGCCCATATGGACATACTCATCACAAATATACGGCATCGCTAAAAAGACCCACCTACAAAAACTTCAAACGTTCCAATCAAAATTATTGCGACTCATAACAAAAGCACCTTGGTACGTGACTAACAAAACTCTACATACTGACCTCCACCTTCCAACAGTTGACCAACATATAACGACCCTATATCAACGATTTTACACAAATTTAAACGGACATAATAACAGACTTATAAGAGACATGGCCACAGCTGACATACCTCAGAACATGAACAGGAGACTAAAAAGGCGTTGGATGAGGGATCTCCTTCCTTAGACAACCTAAGTAATTGGAACAAGTTAGGGAAGAGGTACTGCTGAGTACTTTCCTTCCCCATGCCTGTCATGTCATTTTATCATTATTGCCATCACATTTGCTGATTGTCAACTTATTGTTAACAGGCGCAAATACATATTTAATAGACAAAAAAAAAATTATTACATTATTACTGTTTTTATGTATGTAGCAAATTTCTATAGATGACGACAAGTTAAGATTTTCAGACTTAATGGTAATTAAAAATAATGATAATTCTTTCAACACAAAATGGACTAAAAAGAATATAACAAGTAATAGACTATTAAATTTCCACAGCCAACATCCAAAATATCAAATAATAAACACAGAAAAAAATCTCATTGGTAGAGCATGTAAAATTACAGGTGATAAATATATAAAAGAAATAAAAACAAAAATTTATAATATTTTGATTGAAAATATGTTCCCTTACCAATCATTAAAAAATGTGGTTTCAAATTAATAATCAAAGAGAAAATACAAAGAAAACTTTAAAATTGAAAATAACCAAAACTTGCAACCTTTAATCCATAAAAAATTTCAAAATAAAATGAAAGTTAGCCAAAAATCCATAAAAGATTTTTTTTACATCTAATAATACTATTGTCACAGAAAAAAACATGGAAATAAAAAATTATCATGATAAAGAAGAAAATGAATCTGAAAAAAAAAATATTACCGATTGAATTATATACCTACTTGAATAAAATTAAAATAATATTTAATGATAATAACGGTAAGATAAACACAGATTTATATAATCAAAACAAATTAAATAACCACCTAAGTCAGATGAAAGATAAAATAAAAAAGTTAAAACAAAAAGATGTTGTTTACAAAATAGATTGTAAGAATTGCGAATCGACGAATAGGCGAAACGAGACAACACACAGAAAAAGAAAACCAACATTGTAATGATTCAAAAAATAGTAAAATAGACAATAAAACAGCCATAGCCCATCATAGCATTACAAATAGACATATATTCAATTTAACACAACCACAAATATTATATGAAGAAATAAATAGTACACATAGAAATATAATAGAATCCATATTTATCATTAAACATAATAAAAAAGCAATAAATTATAAAACTGATGCAGATAAAATAGGTAGCCATTATGCGTATATAATTAACAAATTAAATGTATAAAATTAATAAACATTCTTTGGAATTTGACCCTTGTTCAAGGTATGGTTCAGTATCTGACTAGGCTCTCCCTAGAGGAGTCCACAATATTATTTAAGGTAATAAATTCATTATAGAAACTTGCTACATACATAAAAATAGTAATAATATAATAAATAAATACATAAAATTATTGCATTTTAGGAATGAATTATGTCTCAGGAGGTCTCGGATTTGGGGGAAGCCAAAAAAGAAGCATATAAGAAGTACCTAGCGTCAAAAAGGGACCAGGACTGGATTCCCTACAGAGAACAAACGTGTAAGGAGGAAGTTGTAAAGGAGAAGATGCTGCCAGAAAAAGATGGGACACTGGGCTTCAATCAAGGGAGAGAAGCTTGGAATATTTTGAGGAGCTCGAGGGCACCACGTAAGGGAAATGTTATTTCCTCTATCAGTGAAGACACATGGAAAAAGCATTATGGCACCCTCCTTAGAGAAAGTAGAGCGAAGTTTATGGCACAAGAGGGCAACGCACAGGAAGACTGCAAGCCGGACCATATGCAAGTATCGGAAGAAGAAGTGAGGGCTGCTATAGGCAGAGCTAAAAGCGGAACAGCTCCAGGACCTGGGGGCTTGTGTATGGAACTTTTAAAGGCCGGTGGAGATAAGATGCTTGCACTCCTTACCAATGTGACGAACATGGTCCTGAAGGAGTGTGATCTTCCTGATGATCTCCGAACAGGATACCTCTGCTCCATCTTTAAGAATGGAGATGGAAAGCAATGCCAGAATTATCGCGGCATCTGTGTACAGAGCTGAATAAGTAGGATTGTCGGGAGACTGGTCCGGGATAAGCTTGAAGGAGAGTACACCACACCGGTGGTACAAACTGGTTTCACTACCGGAAGACAATATGGACAATACTTTTGTACTCCGGCAGCTCATTGAGAAATGCAGGACGAAGAATACGGAGCTTCGTTTAGCCTTCATTGATCTGGAGCAGGCATATGATAGTTTACCAAGGAATATGGCCAGCACTGAGAAGAGCGGGTATTAATGAATTCACGGTACAAGCAATTCAACACTTGTATGGAAGCGATCTGTACAGAGTAAAGATTGGGAACCGCCTCTTGGAACTATTTTCTGGAACCGAAGGGCTGAAGCAGGAATGTTGTATGTCTCCAAGCAGTTTCAATATATACTTGGACGAGGTAGTGAAGCAATAGGTAAGACGAAGTCGAGTTTACTTTGACGACGACGAGCTCCTTACCCTGTTCTTCGCAGATGATCAAGTAGTGATGGCCCGGAAAAAAATTTTCTTGAAGATGGTGGATGACCAATTAAAGAAAATTTATGAAGAGGTAGGTCTCAGAATAAACTTCCTAAAGACTGAGTTTATGGTACTGGGCGATGATGAAGACGATCTACGCATAGGTGAACAGGTATGAAGAAGAGTAGAGGCATTTAAATACTTCGGGTAAAATCTGGAAGATGTTGGAACGTCTGAACTGGATGTACGAAACAAAGTAGAGATGGCAAGAAAAGCTACTAGAATGCTGCATCCTGTTCTCTGGAACGACACTATTTCAAACGCGAACAAGCGGCGTATCTTCACGGTCGATTTCTTATTGTCTTGTCGATTCCATATTAACCTACGGATTTATGCATGTGTTGGCATCGTTTATTTATTTTTCAAAGCTTTTCTATACCTCGCCTTTTTGGAAATACTATTTTTTTTCGTGGGACATGGGAGAGAGCCGAGAGATTAGTAACAGAGTTCAATGTCACCGACACCGGAATAATAATTGTAATAATTTTATTGAAACCTGACTATTTTGGCGTGCGGACCAAGAGGGGAAACTCATGGGTTGATTCCAAGCAACGAAATTATCATAACAATTACCACGTTTTCTTAATTATTTCAAAACAAATCAATGTTGCAATGGACATCGATATCTCATGATAATTTTTTATCTTACGTGTTTCACATCGACGTTGTCAAACCTTTCAAATTAAAGTGACCTATCTTGTATAAAAAGCCACATTTGACCAAAAAGAGTTAACAACGTTTCAGTGAGCGTTAAGAAACATCACATAAAGGTAAGAAACATCTTAACTAATTGTCTTAAACGGTAGCTCCTTCAGTGAACTTTAAATTCTTTGCTGAGTTTTCCATACCGTAAATATCACTCTATATTTTTCCAGCGATTAATGTTTTTCATATTTCATATTTCCATATTATAATGAAAAATATAAGTAAATACTTTGCCTACACAATTTATCACACTGTTCAAAATAAGAAAAATAAAAATCTAATATATAATACTACATATATTAGACTATATACTCTATAGTCTATATGTTTTATAATATATAAGTCTTATAACATAAGGTATAAAACAAAAATTAAATAACAGTTACTCTCCCCCCAAACAAATTATTATTATGAGACCTACTTTTTTATCCCATATTCTGATTAGAACATTTATGTTATTTTTATTTATATTTTTAAATGCATGTATTTCTATAACTTATCATATCAATAACTGGTTGCCAATCTTACCCATTACTCATCTTTCCATCATTTTTTTTTTTTTGTCCATAAAATATGTATTTGCGCCTGTCAACTTATTGTTGACAATCAGCAAATGTGATGGCGATACATGGAATAATGACATGACAGACATGGGGAAGGAAAGTACCTCTTCCCTAACTTGTTCCAATTACTTAGGTTGTCTAAGGAAGGAGATCCATCATCCAACGCCTCCATCATATAATTTGTTAAAAGACTTGTCATAAATTTTATTTTATACTTTTTAGCACTATTTGTACGTTTCACCGATTCTTTTTTTCCTCTTTTGCATCTATAAATCAATAATAACAACAACAATTATAAACATGACTAAAACATTATTAACCGGTAAACCGTATCAATTTCATCAAACTTATGTCAACCATCGAATCAACAAAAAAAAGTGTCAACCACCTTGGCAATATTTTAACTGCATTTCGATATATTTATATAAAGATAAAGAAGTTTTATCAAACAATCTCAAAACGTTATTTAACTACCAAGTAAATAAATAAGAACAATATCGATGAATTTCATTGCTTATGAAAACGGTGTTAGCACTTAATTTTTTTTTAATTTCTTGTTTTCTTCTTGAGGTAAGAACCACGTCGAACTTAGCTAACAAGTTTTATACGAAGTATGATTCTATAATCGAATCCATTTGATATTCAAATCCACTTGGCTTAGGAATAAGTTATGTCTCATATATTTTATTAGCGGCTTCATACGTCTGTTTTAGTCTCAAACGACAAACAATATAACTCGAAATGTAGACGATTATGTAATTTTTATTTTAAGAAGGATATATAAACCTTGGCGGACTTTTATTTAATTATCTCTACTAGAAAAAGTTGTGGAAAAATAAAACATAACTAAAACAAGTATAATAAATAATAAATATGTATATATGTACTAATTGATTACAGGATGAAAGTTATATTACTTCTCGCCATGGTGGCGTTTGCAGCAGCAACGCCTGCCATTAAGGAACAATGGAGCTCTTTTAAGGTTAGTATAAAGCAAACTATATCCTACCAAATTCAATATCGATTGATAACTGATAGCTGTTTAATAACTGAACCATACATATAAAAGCAAAATTTAATTTTTATAGAGACAAAATCGGAAATCATACAAAACCATTGAAGAAGAACGTCTTAGGATGAACATTTTTACGCATCGTATGAATATGATCGAAGAACATAATGCCAAATTCGAAGCTGGTCTGGTTACTTACTCTATGAGGATGAATTATTTAGGAGATATGGTAATATTGTGGACATTGCGTAATGTGTTATAAAAAAATGTTTGATCAGAATTGGTAAATATAATTCCTCATCTTACAGCTGCCAGAAGAAGTGACCCAGTTGGGATTCAACAGGACAGGTGAGATGAGGCAAGTTCCCAGCTTCACATTCCTTCCTCCAGCAAACGTTGAAATCCCAGAGTCAATTGATTGGAGGCAGTCTGGTGCAGTCACTCCAGTGAAAAACCAAGGTAGCTGTGGATCATGTTGGGCTTTCAGCAGTGTATGTATAGCGATTGATTTCTATTTAAAATATTGATAGACATTCTTTAAACAAATTATTACGATAACCATTATTATTTTTAGACTGGAGCCCTAGAAGGCCAGCTTTTCAGGAAGACTGGAAAACTTGTCTCTCTCAGTGAACAGCAGCTTATGGATTGTTCAAGGAGTTACAAAAATAATGGATGTGGAGGAGGATTAATGGACTATTCCTTCAGATATCTGGAAGATGTAGAGGGATTGGAAAGCGAAGATTCATATCCTTATGAAGGAAAAGTAAGACATTTTGTTATAGTGCCAAAAATACTTCATTAAATTTGCTAAATTTAGATTTAAAGTGAACCTATAATCTATTTATGTAATATAAACCGGAAACTTTCTATTAAAATTATGATTCTACTTTCAGGATAACAGATGTAGGTACAACAAGGATAAGGTAGTGCCAGGAACCAAAGTCAAAGCATACACTGACATCCAGTCCTTGGATGACGAAGCTCTCAAGGCAGCCGTAGCTACAGTTGGACCCATTTCAGTCTCAGTCAATGGAGGAAACGTGGATTTTTCTGTTCTATGATGAAGGTTAATAACTATATACTATACTAGTAATGGAGTTTGTAATGCTTCTTTGACTGCTTATAATTTTTTTTAAAATCCGCTTGCAGGTATTTTTGACGCTGAAGCCTGCTTAGACCATGTGGATCATGGAATCCTTCTAGTAGGATATGGATCAGAAAATGGTGAAGACTACTGGCTCGTCAAGAACTCCTGGGGCTCAGATTGGGGAGAAGAGGGATATATGAAGTTGACGAGGGCCAAGAAGAACGCCTGTGGTATCTCTACTGCTGCTAGCTATCCCATTCTTTTATGAGGAGCAGAAATGAGATCATTTGAACAAATTCCTTTCTGCAGTAATTTATTTAATTTTATTTTTCCTAGCCTGAATTTTTAGTAGTATACAAGATCCATAAAAATATTTGTATAACCAATACTTGCGTTGAATATTATTTGTCTTAATTTACTTTCTTTATTGTAATAAATAGTTTGTATCATTAGTTTCGGTTAGTACGCGTGTATGAAATGATGGAAACTAACAAACAATTTGAAATTCTTAATTTAGACTATCTTTAGTCTTGTTCCAATTTTTTTATTAATAATATGTCCTAGAGACAGATTGTAATATTTTTCAATAAGTATGTTAAAAAAAATAATAATAATCATTTATTTTACAAATATCTTATTTATCCCAAAGAGAGACTAACAAAAGATGTAGAGGTTCCCAACCTTTTTTCATCAGCTGGCAAATTTATAGGTTATGTGTTTGCTGGTGGACACCGTATTGTTATTCAATGTGAATTGTGGGTAGGTAAGTGTTTGTAATATTAAAAAAGAAAATGTGATGTTTATTAATAAAAAGAAATGTAAACATAGAATAACAGATATCTTTATTATTTCCAAAAATAATTAAACATATTTCTACAAAAAAAGGCGAAAAACACTAAGTTAAATTAAATTTATAGAGTATCTTTATATTAAATTGACACATTTATAAATTAAAATTCAAAATTAATTACCTAAACTAATTAATTGAAATAGTATGGGTTATAAATAAGTATAAAACAGAGATGGGCAAATGTTTCTCGTCGAAGCGTAAATGTTATGTGTTGTGATTTGTTATGATTTAATCTAATTTTCCAAAGTGAATACCAATTTTTTAAATTTAGTAGGTGATTATGTAAATTTAATGAGGCTAGTCTGGGGTCATGGAGTTTTGTTATAATAATTTTAAATAATGTCTGTAACCCACCTTGAGTTTATTGAAGCAGAATTGGATACCCCACTCCAATTGACTCCTCCACCTAAAGCATTTCATCCTTCAGAAATATCCAATATCATTAATAGATTACCTTCTCGCAAAGCTCCTGGCCATGACCTAATCACCTCCCAGATCCTAAAATGTCTTCCTAAAAAAGCCATATTGTTCCTAACCTATATATTTAATGCTGTACTCCGCACCACATATTTTCCTGACTCTTGGAAACTATCCATTGTCAATATGATACCTAAACCCACAAAGCCGCCAGAACACCCATCCTCTTACCGTCCTATCTCCCATTTACCCATTATGGGCAAAATCATGGAAAAACTCATTTTAAAACGCCTGTATCCCATCCTAGACTCTAAACACATTATCCCAGATCACCAATTTGGATTCCGCACATCCCACTCCACTATTCAGCAATGCCATCGTGCCAAAATCCTTCGTAAAATCCTCAACGCTCCTTACTTTGTCACAAATAAAATCATCCATAAAGACCTCAATGTTCCATATGTTTCCGATCTGGCCCAATCCAGATACATTTCCTTCCATAACAAACTGCAGAATCATCCGAATCCTCTCGTTTCAAACCTTGCTTCCTCCTCGATCCCTGATAACCCTCCGAGGCGTCTGAAAAGAAGATGGCCACGGGATCTTCTAATATAGAACTTTAATTTGAGTTCTACCAATGGGTAGTTTCTCTTCATGTTGTACATGCCATGTTACAAATTTCTCATTTACTTATTGTATTCTCTATGTAATACAGTTGTAAATTCCATTGAAATAATAAAAAAAAAAAAAAAAAAAAAAAAAAGAAATAATGTCTGTAGTGATCTATAAGTATGCTGTGTTGTTAGCAACCCAATGTAATTGGGCAGCACCATTTTATTTATTTTATAATAATAAAGTGATTCTCTCTCCTGTTGTGTCGTCAGCGTAAGAAGCAGTCAATGTTTCAGAGGTGGTAGGCATGTCGTGCGTATAGACAATGTAGAGTAAAGGTGCCAATATTGATCCTTGAGGCACCCCTGCTGATATTGGTCGAATCGAGGAAATCTCTAAATCCTGTCGGACAGAAAAGAATCTGTCAAAAAGGAAAGATTGGAGAATGAGGTAGTATGTATTAGGCAGTATAGTTTTGAGTTTGAAGAGAAGTCCCTGGTGCCAGACTTTATCAAATGCCTGGGCAACATCCAGAAATACACCGGTAGCATATTGTTTTTGCTCTAGCGCTCCAGAAATGTAGTCAGTAACTCTGTGTAGTTGTGCAGTTGAGTGAAATGTACGAAAACCGAATTGATGGTCAGGTATTTTTTGTTGGTCTGTCAGTATGTCAACCAGTCTTTTGTATATTAATTTTTCGAAAATTTTGGAACATATCGGAAGGAGACTGATAGGTCGGTAGGATGAAGGATTGAAAATGTCTTTGTCCCTTCTGTATATCATCTTGATCTGTTATTATTTCCATTGTAATTGGAAGTTATTTGTTCTCAGGATACAGTTTTATATTGTCGTAAGGAACACTAGAGCCTTCCTAGGCATTTGCTGGAGGCCCTCGGCAGTTATTAAATCATAACCTGGGGCTTTTCTTTTAGGGAGATGTCTGATTTGTTGTGCGAATTGTGAAGAAGTGGACAGAAGAGGAGGAGGTGTCATCTGTAATGGTATAGAGTATAGAATGTATAGAGTATCAAACACTAAGGTTTCATGTTCTGTGTTCGTGAAGTCGGTAAATGGTGTAAATACTGATAAGAGCTGGTGTGCTAAAAGTTGAGATTTTTCTCTATCCGACAAAGCCCATGAACCGTCTTCGTTTCGCAGGGGTACTGTCACCTCTCGATGTTTTAACGAATTTTTGGTATGCTTCCACAAACTTCCATCGTCAGTTGATATGCTGCTTAAATAAGCATCATAATCACATTAATGAAGATTTAAATTAATTTTTGTTTCCTTTGTCGATTATATTTATCGATAAAGTAACAATTGATTTCTTTAGCTTTTGATACGTTGCATTGTTTTATTTTCTTATTAATTTGGCATTTGATAACATTATACTGTGCGAATTTTTCGCACAGGACTACTAGTACGTTTTAAACATCCATGAAATATTTTTAAATTTCATACTTCTTCTTTCACACAAGTACAATGAAATAGTTTTAAAACAATGTCATTGCTTTGATTTGGTGGATTGTAAATACTTGTTTTTCATACTTAATAATCATTTTATAATTTTACATTTATTTGACAAATTTCATTTAATTGACTTGGAAACATTTCCGTTAAACAATATTAGTTTTCATAAATTATTATATATAATTTTTCGTAACTCTCCATTGCCTTCTACGACTTTCTATATAAGTATTGTTTTTTTCTAAAATTCTGAGCTTTCCAACGATATATTACAAGTATCTGACTATTCATTTTCGACCTAGATATGCATTTTTTATTCTCCTTTATTCAATTATCATATTCTTTCAAAAGTTATATTTAGCATTTTTTTCATAACTCCTAACAATGAGAGATTGTTAATTATTTAAAGTAAACTAATTTAAAGGTACTTTAGAGAAAGACATATTGAAAATTGGGCATTTAAGCCCTGTAAAGTGACATCAATTGGGATAAGACCTATTTGATATTATAGAACACTGATCGTAAATCATAAAAATATGAGACAACGTTAATATATGTTCTGGTTTTGAGAAAAATGTTGCTGTAACATCTCAGGCATATAAAAACTTAAAGTACGAAATTTCAGTTTCATATGACTTTTTGTTTTTGAGCTAGGCCTATTTCGATTCAGGGGACCTCAAAATATGTATTTTCGTTGAAAACTCAGATTCGGAAATTTTCATGATCGCAATACTTACCCTTACTATATATTACATATATAGGTAAGTGAAATAATAATTTGCAGCATTTTTATTTTCAAATAATTCATTTATACTTTTGAATTTTATATCTATAATATCTTGTTCGATTTATAAAAAAATTACCTTTTTCAAAGTAATTGATCATACTTATGTTCCATTAATTATTTTATTGAAAACCTGTCGATGTGCAGCATGCAACAGTAAAAATGTGATCCCCGATAAAGCCAATGTTAGAGATTGGGTACAAGTTTGCTCCCGGGAACGAATGACGTCACGCTTGCACAGTGGTACCTACGAGCTCTAGAATGGAAACCCCTAGTCTAAAGTTTGAAAGAATTTTGAACCAGCCTTAAATATTCTTCATGAAGCTCTTTAAATTTATATATACAACATGATTTCCGCCATAGAAGCTGGAAAAAAAGTTACAATCAATTCATAATTTTATTCGCGAATAACATTAACATCAACCTACATGCTAAAGAGGCCATTAGTAGCCACCAAGAGACCAATGAACAATGAGTAAAAATACGTTCTCTTAGATTACCTTATATTAACCAATTAATAATAAATTAATTATTTAATTAGTTAGGAATATTAATATATAATTAAATATAATTTAGGGATTGTTGTAACGCTTATTTTTCATATATTTGTTTTGTCACTATAGAGGTTTGAAAGTTAGACGTATTTGTATTAAATAAGACTTCATAATATCCAACAAATACCGATATTTCCTTTGATAAATTCATGTCCTCAATAAAGAATTGGCATTTTGTTTGTTATACGGTAAAACATTTTTATAATCTATAATGAAAGTAATATTAGACAGTAAGTCGGAGAAAGTAAAATTTTAAGTTTGGAAAAAAATACGTCATGCCAATGGATAGACATTTTGTAGTAAAAGAACGTTCTGACATTAAACCTATTAAAACAGGAGTACCCCAGGATAGTGTCATTGGACCAATATTGTTTAATATATATATGTCTGACCTACCGGAACACAATGACACAATACTGGCTACTTTTTCAGACGATACCGCAATCCTCAGCTCAGATAAAAACCCTGTTCGAGCATCTACCACTCTTCAAAATCATCTGAACGATATTGCCGATTGGGCCACAAGAAGGAAAATTAATATGAATGAAAAAAAAAGTGTGCATTTAGTTTCATTCTTAACCATAAACCTTTTCCTGAAATATATTTTAACAACATTAAAACCCCAACATCAGATGTAATTAGGTAGGTTTTTACCTGGACAAAAGACTTACTTGAAGTACTCACATTAGACAAAAACGAATATAATTA